AATAATATATATATATATATATATATATATATATATATATATATATATATATATATATATATATAGATTGAATTATAAAATAGGGATTTTAAAGTTAAATATTTATTTGAATTATTGCCTAAATAATTAGGAGAAGATAATTAGCAAATATATTAAGTTTGTAAATTTGAAGATTATGCACCAAATGTATTTTAGAAAATAAGATAATTATATAATATTAATGATGATGATTATATTAAAAGTATAGGACCTGATTAATTATTTTCAAGTTTGGTAAAAGGAGAATTCAATAGTTTTACTTAATTAACCAGTACAGGTAAAAGCGGTTCATTTTTTTATTATACAGCAGATGGAAAATTTACTTTAAAAACTATTAATAAAAATGAATTTAATTATTTAAAATATATTTTAAAACATTATTATGAACATCTAGTTAATAATAAAAAAAGTTTAATTATTAAGTTCTTTGGTTTACATAAAATAAAAATTAAAATGAAAAAAAGTATGAAAGAAAATGAAGTATGCTTTGTTATTATGGGTAATGTATTTCATACAAGAAAATATATAAATGAAAAATATGATTTAAAAGGTTCTAAATATGGAAGAACTACTAAAATAAAGTATATATATATATATATATATATATATATATATATATATATATATATATAAATATATTTATTTATATATAATACTTTATATTGTTATATATCAATTTATATTAAAATAATTATTTTTATATTTTTTATTTAGTTTCTAAAATGAAAAAGATTAAAATCTTAAAGATATTACTTACAAAGATTTAGATTTTATTAATAATAAAATAAAATTGAATATAAAAAATAAATAATATGTTGAGTTTATGAATATAATTAAAAAAGATGCTTAATTTTTTGAAGATTATAATATAATTGATTATAGTTTACTTGTTGGAATACATCATAAAGTAAATTTAAAAATCTTTATATTTTTATATTTTTTTATTTTATTTAAGATATAGTTGATATTAACAGAATCTGATTATAATAATAGCTAAATAAATAATAGAGATTTAAATGATTTTCGAAATGTTACTTAATTTAATGATAAAAATAATTTTATATCATATTTAATATCAAGAGATTAAAAATATATATATTTATTTGGAATTATAGATATATTGACTTGTTTTAAGTAATTTATAATTATAAAAAAAAAAAAAAAAAAAAAAGTACTAAAAAGAAATTCGAATATATTGAAAAAAGAGTAACTTAAGGACCTAATATTAGTGCGATTCCACCATCATAATATAGTTATAGATTTGTGAAATTTATTGATTCTATATTTGACGATGATTCGAAAATACAATAAAATAATTGAATAAAATTTTTATTTTATACATTATATAAATATATATAAAATATATATTATATATATATTTATATTATATAAGAATAGATATTTATATTTTTTATATAAATTTTAATTTATTAAAATTATTTTTTGTTAAAAAAATAAATTTATTAGTATTTATATATTTAAATAAAATTTACAATAAAAATTAATTTTATTATATTATCAAATATTTTATTTTTATTTTTTTTGATAAAAAATATATAATTAAAATGAAAAAAAAGTTTATTGATTTAGAATCTGTATTTTTATTTATCTATTTAATTTTTATTATTAATAATAATTTAATAGAACACAGTATTAGTATAAGCTTAAAAAAGAATGTATGAAATAGAAAAAGAACGTAAAGAATTAAAGAAAATAATAAATACATATTAATAAGATTATTTATCATCAGAGATAACTAAAACTGAAAAAAAATAAGAAAATAATATCTTTTTTTAAATAAGTGAAGAAATTAATTCAAAAAATGAAATATAAAAATTAGGGAATTAAATGCAAAAAATTCTGGTATTTTTTTATTTTTTTTAATTTTAATAAAAATCTATAAAAGGGAAAAATATAAAGCAATAATGATAAAAAATAAGATAAAAAAAATTATAAAAGTCTTTTTCTAAAAACTGAGGGTAATACATAAGGTTTTTAATAAAAAATAAAAAATACTCATGAAGAAACTGAAATTTATTATTTTTTAAATGCAATTAAAAATAATGAAATTTCATATTAAAAATTTATTGAAAAATTCGGATCGGAATCTTAATTTTTATAATAGTATTATAATAGTCCTAATCCGAAATTATTTTTTCTAAATTCTATAAAATTATTAAATGAATTATTATTAATTAATTAATAAATATAAAATAATAATTATTCAAATTTAAAAAATAATATAATTCCATAGTCTTTGATTTAAAAATATTATAAGAATGATAATTATTATTAAATTTAATAAAAATAAAATAGAAATAATAATAATAATAAATAATATAATTTTAATAAATCTGATGAAATATATTAAGATTATAAAAATAATTAAAAATATAAAAATAATTATTAATATTAAATATATAAATTATATAAAAATATTAATTAATAATAATAATTAAAAAATAATAATTAAAATAAATATGATATTAAATAATATAGTAGTAATTATTAATAATAAAATTTTGATAAATAAAATAATAATGATATAACCATTATAAATCAAACAAAAAAATTTTAGAATTTATTAAACATATTATAAAATAAAAAAGATAATAATAATAATAATAATAATAATAATAATAATAATAATAATAATAATAATTATAATAATAATAATAATATATTAGGTTTTCATTAAAAATCAATTAGTTCTTATATTTTTAAGAATAACATGATAATCCAAATAAAAATTTCGTAAATATACATAAATAAGATCTTTTGCATTTAAATAATAGAGAATAATATTTAAAAATGCAAGAATATTAATAAGAAATTACTTTTTTGGAAAAAAAACTCTCTTATATTAAATAAAGACATTTATAAGAAAAAGAAAGACAAAAGAAATAGGAAATTGAATTCTAAGAAAATCTCCGAAAATAGTATCTTGAAAAAAAAGCTGAAGAAGAATAAAACCTAAAAAATATGTAATTAAATGATGAAAAAATGTAATAATAATAGCTTTAAATAGCCGAATTGGAGCGTATAAAAGCAGAAGAAAAAAATAAACTGAGACAATAAGAATTGGTTTTATAATAAGAAATTAAAAAAACCGCCTAACTAGAAAAACTAAGAGAAGAAATAGATGAAATGCGTCAAAAAAGACTGCAATAGGAAGCAGAACTACTCAAAAAAAGGCAAGAAGATCACGAGAAACTGCTCTAACTTCAAAGAGAACGAGAGGAACCTAAAAAAGATGAAAACAAGAATTAATAAAGGAAAAAAAATCGCTAAAATATCATAGAAGCTGCTTATATGAAACCCACAAAAGCAAATTTAATTTATAAATAAAATGTACAAAATGAAATTGCAAGAAGATCAATTTCTATTCCTTCAGTAGTTAGTCCTAATAAAAAATCAAGATAGAGTTCAATTGCAAAAGATAATGTTAATATGAGTGGATATTCACCACAAAATGGAAAAAATAAATCACTTTTTGGAAGTTCTTTTAATTAGCAGAAATAAGAAGGTTATTTAATATATATAAATATATATATTTATTATATATATATATATTTATCATATATATATATATTATTAATATATGTATAATTATATATTTTTATACTATCAAAATATTTTTTTGTTTTTTTAATTTTTTGGTTTTTTTGATAAAATTAAATATTAAAAGTATTTGTTTATTTATTATTATATTTATATGTTTATTTTTATTTGTTATTTTTAATTTTATAATTTTTATTTTATATTTTTTAAAATTATATTATATTTTTTTAAAGAAAGGGATAAATTAGATGTAAATTAATATATAAATAAATATAAAATTGAGAAAGATGAAGAAAAAAAAAAAACTATTTTAGAAATGATTGATGGAGATAATAATATTTTATTTAAAAAAGAAGATAATAATGAAAAATCAATAAGTTAAATTGAAAATAATATTTAAAATAATGATGAAGACAGTTTAAATAATATTTTATTTGAAAAAAATGAGGATAAAATATAAAATAATGATAATTCTCAAATGTCATAATCTATTACAGACTCTGTTTTATAATAAAAAATGGAATAAGTTGAAATTATTAAATAATAATAATAAAAAATGAGTCCTTAAAAATAAATAGGGGTTAAAAAGAATTATAATAATAATTAAATTAAAAAAAATAAAAATATTTAAAGTAATTTAGTAATAAATTAAGAAGAAAATTCTAAAGAAAAAAATAAATATAAAATTTAGTTAAAAAAAATTGAATTAGAAAATTTATTTAAATAAAATAAATAATATTTATCATTATTTTAAATTTTTATAAATATATATATATATATATGTATTTATTTTTTAATTTTAAAAATAATTTATATTTATTTTTTAATTATTACTTTTTTAAGAATACATTTTTAATTCTAAAATTATCAAAAAAAAGATTAAATTAAAAGAAAAAATATAAAAGTCAATTAAAAAATTTTTAGATAAATATTTATATAAAAATATATTATTAAAATGGATATATATATTTATAAAATATATTATATATACATTTATATATTTATTATCATTAATAAATATTATTTATATATTGTATTTATTTGTAAAAATAAATATAAAGAATTTATTATTTTTTTTTAAAAAAAAAATTATATTTTTTTCAATATTTATTTATATATAAATTATCATAAATTAAAATATTTTATTAATTTTATTTAATTTCATTTTTATTTTTCTAATAAATAAATATTTTTAATAAATATTGAATTAAAAATAAGAATTTCAAACATACATAATAAAATAAAAATGAAACCATTAAACATAAAACTAATTCAATCTAAAATACCAGAACAATAAATATAAAATAAACAAATATATTAAAATTATCGACCAGGTCCCACTCCATTTATATCAATGTTAAGAGTACGCCCATTATTTATTCCCGAATAAACAAAAAATCCGTATATAGCAGTAGAAGTAATTGATAAACAAACAGTTATTTTCAGACATGAAATAAATTAAGGATTAAAATCAATTACAAAAGATAAACTATATATGTAATTAAAAATATATATAAATTTATAAATATAAATAAAAAATATAAATAGATATATAAATATATATATATAAATATAAATTTAAACATATATAAATATTCATATATTCTTTTACTGATAAATATATATACAGGTGTACAAAAGTTATACCTCCAGTAGGAAAAACTAATTAAATTTTATCAAAAGGTATTTTAGACTTAGTAAATGATAGTTTTAAAGGTTTTAGTTAGTCGGTATTTATTATAGGTGGTAAATTTTCTGGTAAAACTCATACTTTTTTAGGAAATATTAATGATCCAGGTATATTTATTCATTTGATTTTTAAAATTAATACTTTTATATTTATTATATATATAGGTTTAGCTTTCTAAATTTCTAGAGCTTTGTATTAATAAAAGTAAAAAATATTCATAAATAGTAAAATATTTGTATCCTTTTTTGGATTCGAAAATGGCTTTAGGGATTTATTAGCATTTACTGGTCATTATTTAGAACACGTAAGCACATAAAATGGATGTTATTTACCTGGTTTGGCTTAAATTTAATGCAATGAATATCATGATTTTTTATGTGGTTTAAAATGTGCGTTAAAAAATGATGGTAAAAGAGATATTAATAGAGTATTTATATTATTTATGTATATTTTATAAATAAATTTATATATAGGATTTCTCTTAGGCTTTTACTTTGTTTAATCAATATCCAGAGAAAGAGATTTTTATTATAAAATTTAATATATAAAATCAATTAATAATAAATGGGGAAGAATAAGGATTTTCATCAGATTTATATATAATAGATACTGAATCTTATGAACTTAAAGATAAAATTAAATCAAAAGGAGTTAATAATGCTATGCTTTCATTTAATAATTGCTTAAAATATTTGTATGAAATAAATCAAAAAATTAGTAATGTAAATTTTGTACATTTTGATTAGTCACCTTTTACAAGCTTTTTTAAAGAATTTTTAGGAGGAAAAGGAAAAAGTTATGTTATTGGAAATTGTTCACCTTTTATTTATGATTTAGAAGTAATATATATATATATATATATAATATATATAAATATATATATATATTTATATATATATATATATATATATATATATATATAAGTATTCGATGAGGACAGTTAGATAAATTTAATGGTCTTTTAAAAGTACATGCAATCCTTAATAGAATTTTTGGTAAGGAAATGGTGAAATTTATATTTTAAATGAATGCAAATATTTAGAATAAATATAGAGATTTACTTAAATTATAAAAAAAAATTTGTAAACATTTATAAAAATTTAATTTTAAGGAAAAGATGAAGAAAAATTAAAAGTATTTTATTATAAAAATATATTTATATAAATATTAAAAAATTAATATATAGTATAAGAATCATTTAAGTCAAATTTTTATAAAACTATTTAATTTTTTAAACCTTAATAATGAAAAAATAAATTAAATGAATAATTTAAATAATATAATATAAGATATTTAAGATAAGTATATTAATATAGAGAAAAATATAATGAATGAAAATATAAAATCTTCAGATGAAAAAGAATTTTTTTTAATTAGAATTGTTCCTTTAATGTATAATTTACATTATTTGAATATATAAAATATATAAAAAGTAAAATATTATAATATTTTATACATATCTATATAAAAAAAATATTAAAAGTAATTATAAAAAAACTTATAAATATTAAATAAATGCTAAAAATAATTTAGTTAAATTAAAAAAAATATAAAAGAATATATTTAAATAGAGATTAATTAAAGTGAAGTTTTATAAAGAAACCATAAAGAAAATATTGTTATTTTTTCAAAATATTTTATAGAACATATTAATTGGTGTTAATATTTTTGTTTTAAGTCTTTTAATAGTATAGAAAGATAGAATTTTTAAAGATAAAAGAGAAAAATAGAAAAAACTGTAGAGGAATGTTTTTAAAATTTTTTTAAAGTCTTGGATATTTAAATAAATAATTAAAATAAAATAAAAGAAAAAGATATAAGAAAATAAAGCTTAAATAAATATGATGTAAAAATAAATAATATATTTATAAATATAAATATATGTATATATATATATATATATATATATATATTTATATATATATATTTAATATAAGTAAGATTTTTAAGATATTGAAAATAAATAAATAAGTTCTATATTTGATTTTTCTAATAAAAAAAGTTATTTTTAATTATCAAATGAATATTTAGATAAAATATAAAGTCAAGAGCATATCTAAAAAAAACTTTAGTCGATTTACCTTATATAAACAAGCCTAAACTTAATATATAAAGCACAAAATGCAATATTAAAATATAAAGGAAAATTAATTTAAATTAAATAAATAGTTTAATAAAATATAGTAGTTTAAATAATTTAAAAATTACATAAAAATTTGATAATACTTAAAGATATGAAATATTTAATAAAAAAACGTAAAAATAAGAATATTTATAAGAGTTTTAATTAAAAAGTGAATTTAATAAATAACTTAAAGTTAATTATAAATTATTTTAAGAAGATAATAATGTAAAATTACCTGTCATATAAAAAAAAATATAAAAAAAACATAAAAATAAGAAAAAATAGATGATGTTAATGACTTTTTAAAATTAAAATTAGTCTCTAAAAATAATTTTAAAGAAAAACTTTAAAAATAACTTTAAAATAAATCTTTTACAGAATAACTAAGAATTAAAAAAAATATATAGAATTAAATTAATAATAGTTTTTGTATTTAGAATGAAAAAAGTATAAATGAAATTTCTATTATTTCTAATAATAAATAAATATAGAGAAACAAATATTGAAAAGAAATATATATATATATATATATATATATATATAAAAAAATATATATTTAAAAAAAATATTAAAAGTGAAATTATTATTATTTTTATATCATTCTGTTTATAATTATACATATTTTGTTTTTCCATTTTTATATATTTTAATTTTAAATGATGCTCCTATATTATATCCTATTATTCTTGATAAATCTTTTCCATCTTTTATTTTAATTCCATCAATTTCAGTAATAATATCACCTAATTTTAACCCTGCTTTTCCTCCTGGACCTTCTTAATTTACTTTTAATATAAAAGCTCCTATTTATTCTGCATCTTAAGGAGTAGATTATACAGAAATACCCAAATAAGGTTTCTTGATATCTTTTTTTATAAATATTAGTCCACGATAGCCTTAAAATGATATGCAGGAAGGGCTATTGAATGTGATTTAGTATAATTATTGGGAAGATTAAGGCCTATTATATGACCTTGTGAATCAAATAAAGGAGAACCGTGCATAGAAGTATATAAGTTCTATATATTGGACATTAAAAGTAATGATTAAGCTGAAAAATTAAAGACTTATTCAGAACTTAGTGTATTCTCATTTAGAATACCTTCTGAAAAAACCTAGAAATCTTAATTGGATTTTCCTATTTAATATATACGTTTTCCTAAAGAGGGAATTTTGGAATTTAAAAGTCCTTTTTTAAATGGCAGTTACTGGTTTTTATTTACTTTGTTGATTTAACAAAAACATATGTTTTCAGATTTTAAAGTTTTTTCAAGGGAAAAGCTGAAAGTTATATTTTGGAATTCATCGCGCATTGATTTGGCATAAAGTTGGTTATTTTAAATATTCTCGAGGTCAAAAATATTACATATTGTCAAAAATGTGCCCTCATCGTCTAATATTAAACCAGTAGCAATGGGTTTGTGAGATCTTTCGGAGTATATAAGGACTATACAGTCTATTATTTAAGATTACTGTTATTGGTTTTGGAAGATGTTAGTGGTAACATTTTAAGGAGATTCAGATTTAAGGTTAATTGGGTTTATTTGGGTTTTTTAGAAAGAGTTAGGAAGAGGAAAGGAAGAATTAGCTTTAGTTTGGGTGTTTTTAGGGACATTAAAGGTATTTTATAAAGTAGAGATTTCATTATTATTATTATTTTTTTTGAGTTTTTTTTTATTATTATTTTTTATAGAAAGTTTTTTATTTAATATATAAAATGATTTATTATTATAATATTTTTTTTTTTTTTAATAATTGAAAAATTAAATTGTTTTAATGTTATTAATAAATTTGTAATCATTTATAATTTATTTTTATTTTTTTTCGGATTAAATAAAATATAAATATAATATTTTTTTTTTTGGTGTAAAATTATATATTATTTAAAAATAAAACTAAAAATTTCGTGATTATTAATTTATTATATTATAAATAAGTAATTAAAAAAGATAAAATAAATAAAAATATTAAAATTATAAAAAAATGACATTTTTAATAAATTAATTATTATAAAAAAAAAAAATATTCTTAAATAAAAAATATAATTAGTAAGATATTTTTATTTATTTTATAATCGTATAAATAATAGGAAAAAAAATAAAATAAAAATATAAGAGAAATAATAGATAATAACATTTTTTTTTATTATAATAATTATTTATATATATATATATATATTTATATATAATTATATATATATATGTATGTATTTATTTTCAATTTAATTTTATTTTTTAAATAATAATTAGTTTTATTTAAATTTTTTATTTTTTTTAAATAAAATATATAATTTTGTTTTTATTATTAAAATAATAAAATATTAATATCTTGATTTTTTAAAAATTTATTTTAAATGTGTCTACATTTATTTTCATAAATTTTTTAGTATATTAGGTACAATATTTTGTATTTTCTTTTAACAAAAGCAAATCTTATCTTTAAATAATTAGTTTTAAAACAATAATTCAACTCTTTTTTTTTAAAAAAAGTTATTATTTAAAATACCGTATTTTAATAATATTTCTAAAGTATATTTTATTATAAAATACTCAATTGCAAAAAAATAAAGGTCTATATTTATTTTAATATTCAAAACATAAAATTTTCTTTTAAAATTTTAATTTATTTTAATAATCAACTAAAAAATATAATTTTCTATTAATTTTTTAGTTTATTTTATTAATGATATATTAAGCTATATTTTTGTATATATGTGTCATTTTTAAAAAATAAGAATCAATTTTTTTTTTTTAATTATTAATTATTTATTTATATTTAAATTAATTTTTTATATACATTCTTTCTATAATTTTATTTTATTAAAAATCATTTTTATTTGAAATATTAAATTTAATGACTATATTATTTTGAAAGCTATGATTATTTTTTAAAAAATATCAATAATTTTCATTTATATTTTATTAATATGTCTTAAATTTTCTTCTCTACATTTTTTAAATGCAATTCTCATTACATTCTTATTAAAATAAATCAAAAATATTTTCTTTTAAAAACTTCTTTTTTTATTTTTCTTTAGAATGTTTTTATACTAAAAATACTCTTTGTTCATTTTTACATTCTAAACAATTAAATTTATATTTAAAAATAAATTTCTATATATTCTATATATCTATCTTTTAAGTTAATTTTTATAAATATTAATTTGAAATATATCACTTTTTTTTTTTTTTTGTATATGATTCCTTTTCTAGTATATTTATATTGCCTGTTTTCTTTTCTTTTATAATTTGAAATTTTATTTTTTTAATCTTTATAGACAGGCCATTGTTTTCTGAATTAATATCATTTCGTACATTAATAAAAAAATAAAATAATTAAATAAAAATAATTGTTTTTGAATACAAAAAAAAGTCCAATTTATTTCTTTTACAAAAATTTAAATTTAAATGGAAAAATAAACATATTTCTAATACTTTTAAATTAATTTTTTAATAAATCAAAAGCTCAATTATTATAAAATATTTATAGAAGAAATTCTAAATAAGTTTATTATAAGAACCATTTTATTAATATGTTAAGTAATATTATCGGAATTATTTAAATGATTAAAATAAAAACAATTGATAGTTTATGAAAAAAAAATATTTATAATAAGGATATTTTATATTGAGAATTAAACATAATATTAACTTAAATATATGTATTATTAGTTTTTTAATGGATATTTATGATTTTTATTTTTTTATTTTAAAGGATTATAGGAAAATATATTATTATTATAGCTTTTTTTATTAAATATTAGTTTATTATTTATTTATTAAAAATTCATTATAGATTATAGATTAATTTTTATTTTTTTTAAATAAAAAGAATAAAAATAATATAAATTTAATTTAATTTAATATATTAAAAGAATTTAAAATAATAAAATGTTTATTATAAAAAAGTATAATATTATTTATAATTTTAATTTATTTTAAATTTCTATTTAATTTAATTGTATATGCATATGTAAAATATTAATTAAATAAATTTAAATTATAATATCAATAAAATAATAGAAATATTATAATTTTAATGTTAAAAAAAATTAATTTTATTATCATAAAAACTAATTTTTTTTATAAAATATAAATTTAATTTTTTTTCATTTAATTTTTAATTTTTTAACAGTTTTTTCTTTTTCGTTAATGATTTCTTCTGTAAATCTATAATATATATAAATATTTTTTTCTTAAAATATAAAAAATAGTACTTATTTAATTTTTATATTTATTTTAAGTCTATTTCATTAACATTTATTTGCATTTTTTTTTTTCTTTTTATAAAAACGTACTCGGAAAATCCTTTTATATATAATCTATAACTTTTCCTAATTAAATAGGTGTTAATTATGATATTTTTTAATTAAAAATTTATCTTTAAATTTGTAAATTGTTTCTTTTTTAAATATTACTACTATTATTTTAATCTCCATTTTATTTTATATTAAAATAATGCTCTATTAGTTTCTAAGAATACTTTTCTAATTTTATTGCTATATTCCATATCCACTAATATTTTTTTTAATATATATGTATATAATAAAGATATAAATGTATATATGTATATTTACAGAATATTCAGCATTATATAATTTACAATTATCCCATATTTATTAAATATCTTCAAAAAATTATTCTTTATTTTAATAACTTTTACTCTCTAATTTTTTTTATATTATTTATAAATCAATTGGATTTTTGACTATTAATAAATAATCTGAAAGTCCGTATTTAATATGGTCTACAGGTTATCTAAATTCTACTGAATCTTCATTTTCAAACAAAATTTGTAATATTTTTTTCATTTTTTCCTTATCTTGTTTTGATATTTTATTTTTATTACTTTACATTTTTTTTGTTTTAAATATTTATTTGTTTATATATAAATAGTGTATTTTATATATATATTCAAACTTTTATATTCTCTTGTCATTAAGTTTTTGCGCCATTTATTTTTCGTGTAAAAATAAAGATATTTTAAAAAATATTTGTTTATAATAATTAAATATATTAAAATTTTTAATAATAATAAATTTAATTTTTATTTTAACATGGATTTTTAACATTTTAATACTTTATTTAATTTTATATTAATTTAAGTTTTTATATAATTTAATCAAAGTTTTCATTTTTAAAACAAGATTAATTATATATATATATATATATGTTTATTTTTATATTATTTAAAAAATAAAAAAGAAAAAAATTTCTAAATAAAATAAATATTTTTTAAAAAAAATTCATATAGAAATAATAAGCAAAGCATATATTATCAAAATATAATAATTTTATCTCAATTTTTTACTTAAACTACGGGTTTATAATTTCCATCTTTAAACCAACTTAAAATTGCATATAATTAAACACCAAAAACGCAAATTAATACAATGATTTTAATAAAAGAACAAATACTAAGTTTATTTTCTGTACTTACAATAACTATATAATTTAATTTTTTTTTAATAACAAAAAAGAATTTAAATTATATATATATATATATATATATATATATATATAAATATAAATATATATATTTACGTTGTTTATGTGTTTTCTCACGAATCGATTGGTGATGAAGTTCTTAATAAATATATTATAAACCTTGTTCTGCTTCATCAAATAATGTTTCGGTTTATTAAATATCCTCTAATTAAATTTATAAATATATATATTGGAAAAAAAAAATACTATCTCCAACAAATTTAACTTAAGAAGATTTTTAAAATTCAAAAGAAACTAATTTACTTATTGAATTTAAACTAATAAAACATATATTAAATTCTTATGCTTTATTCTCGATTTAATTAATAAAATAAGTACCTTTATTTTTTATACTTAAATTAATATAATCTACAGTCTTATGATCAAAATTTGATATCTTTTATATATAATTATATATACATATATATAAATATATATATAAATATTATTATATTTGTATATTCAAATATATATATTATTTTATATTATTATTTTATTAATATTTTTATATTTTCTTACTATTATTTAGAAATTTTCAGCATCATAACCTAAAACTTCATAATAAAATTCACAACTTTAATTTGGTAACAAATTTACTTTATAACAAATTTATTATTCATCAATTGTTACGAAAAGTGAATTTATTTTATTGAATAGTAAATAACAAAAAATTATAAAATATTTCATATCTTTTTTTTTTTTCAAAAATTAAATTTATTTATATGTTTTTATTTTTTTAAAAAAAAGGAAAAATATAATAAATGTTTAATAAATATATTTTTTTTATAATTTTTCTTTATTTGCTTTTTATATTTTAAATTATAAAAATAATTATTAAAGATGGAGTGGCCGAGCGGTCCAAGGCGGTAGATTAAGGCTCTATTCCGAAAGGGCGCGAGTTCGAACCTCGCCTTCATCAAAATTTTTAAATATGTATATATTTTTTTTAAGAAATTTATAATTATTTATTTATAAATTTTTTTATTTTTAATTAAATATTTTTATTTTGTAAGTTTATATATTAATGTATAATTTCATAATTAAATTTATTTTATAAATATATTATTTATTTAATTATATATTTATAATATAATATTTTATTACTATATCTAAAAATATTTTTTGTTTTATATATTAATAATTTAAAATATTTTGAATATGTAATAATTTTTATTATTTTCATTGTAAATTATGATTAAAATAGTATTTTTTTAGTTAATATATATAAAATAAGATTTTTTTAATTTTTAATTCTTTTATATTTAAAAAAAATTTTATTTGGTTTTTTATTTAAAAATTAAAAAGTTAAAATTCTGAATTTTTTTATATTAATATAAGAATTCATCAAATATATATATATATATATATAATAAATATAAATATATAATTATATTTATAATTTAATATATATAAAATTTCGTATACAATAATACAAAAAATGATAAATTTTAACTATTTTCTATAATTATTTTAAATAATAATATAAAATAATTAACTATATTCACATATATTCTCATTTCTTTATATAATCCCCATTAGTCTAGCTGGTTAGGATACAAGGTTTTCACCCTTGAGACCCGGGTTCAAGTCCCGGATGGGGAATTATATTTTTTTTTTTTTATTTTTTTTTTATTTTACTTTAAAATTAGCATCTTGAAAATATTTTTATTTTAAAATAAAAGCATAAATAATTATAATTCTGTTAAAAAAATATATATATATGGCTATAAATAATAGTTCTTAAGAATATCTTTTTGTTTAGAATTTTTTTTTTTTAATATTCTGATAACAAAACTTCAAATATAAATAATAAATGTATTTTTTCATTTAAAAATAGTTAAACCAACTTATCAGTACGTCAAAATTTTGTAAATAATTTAAAATATTAAAATTTTAAGTATATTATAACCTTATAATTAATTATATGAGAATTTTTTTATTTAAAGCAAAACTATTAAGTAAATTAACATAAGAAAATTTAGAAAAATGTATAAATGGGCTAAAGAGAATGTTCATTTTAGCCAATGTATGCTTTATAAAATAATTTTGAGTTTAAAATTTATATATTAATAAGAAAAAAATATATATAATAAAAATATTGATATTCTATATGTGTTAAGAAATGTAAAATTTTTGTAGATTATTTATTTTTTAACAAAATATAAGGTTGTTTTTTTAATTTTATTTGAAATTATGTAAAAATTCATTTTTTTTTATTCATAAAAATAAATATATATAATAATTTAATTTTATTTACAATCTTTTTTTGTATTTTTTCAATGTTTTTTATTTTTTGAAATATAAAAAATAATAAATAAAATTAAATATAATATAATAAAAATGTATATTTCAATAATATTTTCAATATTAATTGTTATAAATTGTGAATTAAAATTAAAAATGGTACAAATACTATTCAGGCATGGCATAAGATATTCTTTATATTCCGAACTAATGTAAAACCTTGAAAACTACCAAGAACAGCTCCTTAATGACGGCTAAATAAACAGTTTAGGAATGCGATAAATGTATTATTTAGGTTAAATTTTAAGAAAAGAATATATTGAAGATTAAAAATTTTTATCTCCATAATACATAAAGGAAGAGATGTTTATATAATCTTCAAATGTAAACAGAACTTTATAAAGTGCTTAAAGTTTTATGATAGGACTCTATCCATTAGGTACAGGGGTCAAATTAATGGAAAATATACCTTTAGAAAGCTTTTTACCAACATATTAATAAGTTAATTAATAAAATTAATATTAGTATATAAAATAAATGGACGATAATTTTGCTTCACCAAGCGGTATATATCCTTTTTCAATACATACATAAGGAGATAACGATAATATATTAAATCCACCATGCCCTTTGTTAAAAAATAAGAACAGAATTATAGTAAATAGAGAAGAAAAAAAATTTAACGAAGAATATAAAAAATATGAAAAAATAGTATAGAAGATTGCTAAGTCAATTAAAACTAATTAAAAGTTTAACATTTAAAATATTACGAAATTATATGATGTTATTTTATGCCAAAAATATATGGGTTACGATTATGAAATTTCTTAATAAGAATTTGATACTATATAATATTTAAAAGCATATAGTAAATTGCTTTCGACTTTTAAAACAGAAAATTGTAAACTTATAATTACGCCTTATTTATAATTTCTAGTGTAATAATTTGATTCTAAAGTAATAAGTTATTTATATTTTTATATATTTATAAATTTATATACTTATATATTTATATGTTAATATATAATTTTATTTATTTAATTATATATAATTTTTTTATTTTTTAAGATTAAAAATTAAAATTATCATAAATTTATTGTTTCTAGTGCGCATGATAGTTAAATTTTACCTTTAATGGTTATTTTAAATTTAATTAATTTAGATTGTGTTTATAATGATTTTAATCATAATAAAAAGAGTTGTGAAATAATTCCTAGTTTTTCTTCCAATTTAATTTTTGAGTTGTACTAAAATGAATAAGATAACTATGTTATTATGGTTAAATATAACGGATAATATGTCAATTTACCTTGCGGGTCAAAAAATAATAATAAATTGTGTTATTATTATGATTTTAGATAATTTATTGAAAACAGTATAGTCAATAATTATAACTAATAATGTGGGATTCAAGAATATGCAGTTTATAATAACGGGGAATATAGAGTCGGTATTATAATTATATTCTTTCAGTTTATTTTTATTGCCTGGCTTTTGATGAAAAATTAAAGGCTTAAATAATAATAGTAATTTTAAATTAATTATAGATAGTATGATATACCTTTGTAACCTTAAATTTAATTGGAATATTGAATAAATGAAAATATTAAAATAATTTAAAAAATTAATTATATATTATTTAATATAATATATATTAAATATTTATAATTTTAAAATTATTAAAATTATATATTTATATATAAATATGTTTATGTATATATTTATATATATTTTTATTAAATAAATTATTTATATTCTTTCATATTTTCCATTTTTATTTATATTAAGAAGTAATTTATTGTTTTTAGTATGATATTTTATTTTACTAAGTATTTTATTTTAATTAATTTTATTTTGCAATATTTTATTATTAATTTAATTGTGTATATTATCTATTTGGAGTATAAAATTATTAACTTTTATTATAATAATATTAATAATAATCATTATTATTTATTGAATAATTCTTATTTTTGTAATTTGAAATATATTCATTTTAATTTAATGAAATATTCTCTTTTCTATAATTAAATTAATTTTCGTTTTTATTAAGTTAATAATATTCATTTTATTTATTTGTAAAACAATCATATTTATTTTTAGAATAATAAGAATTTAATGAAAAATTATCTTAAATTAGTTTATCTTATAATAATTCAGATTTAAATTCTTTTATTTATGAATGTTTATATTTTAAAATAGTAATTTTTCCAATTTATATTGCATTATCGGCTTTTTAGATTATATTTTCCTTTTTTTATATTCTTTCGGTTTATTTTTATGCTTTTTTAATTTTTTCTTATTGCATATCATATTAGCTTTAAAATTATTAAATTCTATTTATTTGTTTTTAAATTTAAAATTATTAGCAACTTTTTTCAGATTTAGTTTATTGTTATTAGAATTATTTATTCTCAAAATCATCTAAATTAAATTTACCGAATTTTATTTACATTAAAATATTATATAATTATTCGAAATTTGGTCTTTAGGTTTCATGACTTAACATACTGGTAATTAAAAAATGCAATTAAATATCATATTAATCTTCTACAAGTTTAAGTTTTTATTAAATAATGCCTTCATTTATCCTAAAATTATCAAAATCGTAAATGTTTTACACTGTTTAAAATGTACTCATAGCCAAAAGAATTAACCCTAATGAGAAAATGTCTGCCTTTTCAAAATACTAGTCATTTTTTTCTAAAATATCACCGTTTTTTAAACACTCGAAAATCTCAGGGGATAAAAAGCATTCATTTTCTAAATTAAAAACATTCTTTTTATGCCCACAAAAGCCATTTGTTAAAAAATTAATATCTGTTAGTTTTAAAAACTCATTTTCATCAAAAAGTATATTTCGAGGTTATATATCAGTATGCGGAAAATTATTTTGTTTTAAATATATCAAAACATTTAACATTTATTCTAAAAATGAAAAGATTTCCTATTTTTAAAAAAAGGAAAAAAAAAAATATGATAATTAATCTAATAATATATATATATATATATATATATATATATATATATATATATATTATATATATATATATATTTATATTTATTTATATTTCTTTTTTTAAAAAATAACCTCAATTTCATATTTTATTCCTATTTCGAATCTTCTTAACATTTCTATTTTTAAATTATCGTCATAATATCTATATAATATTTCGGCTTTTGTTATATTTGAACAGTATTATTTATATTCAGTTATTTAATATTTTTTTATTTATATTAAATTTTCATGTTTTAAATTAGATTTTTATTATAATAATTCACTGTAATATTAATATTCTTATTCATTTTCAAGTATTTTGGTTTTTAAAGCGTATTTAATTTTAGGGTTTTCTATGCTTTTTAGAATTTTAATTTCACCATAAGATTCGTCTTGTATTATTTTTTCAAATTTTAAATTTAAATCATTTAGTTTTTATGTATCATTGTTATTTTTGGTATTATAAGTATTTCCCATATTTTATTTTATTTATATATTTTTTTATATATTTTTGATATATTTTTTGATATATTTTTTAGAAAAAATAAAATAAAACTTACAATTTAATATTAATTTTAATAATTAATAAATTAATTATATATAATAATAATAAAAAAAAGGAATATCTATTTTCATTTAATAACATGAGGTTTTACATTAATATAATACTAAAAGTTGCTGAATAAATTCTTCTATTTTAATTTTTATATATTTTAAAGAATCTATTCACAATCAATATTATTCGCTTAGATTCCCCTTGGAATTATATCTTAATAAAGTCCTTCTCTTATAATAGAAAGTTCTCTATATCTGTTAGGTGAAGCCGCACCTACAAGCATATCATCTTAATAATAATAAGCAATAAAATCATTATCATTAGATTTAGATAATTCAAATCTATTACTTTAATAAGGAAAACCTTTATATATATAAAATATATATATATATATATATATATATATATATATATATATATATATATATTAAACCAATAATATTTAGTTATAAATTTCCAATTTTAATATTTTCAAAAGGTATAAATCTTATAGCTTGTCTTTTATTTAATAAATTAATAGCTAATTATTATCCTTATACAATTAAATCTCCTTAACTATCAAAAGATTAATTTTTTGACAAAAAAGGCTAAATAAGTGATGCTGTGTAACCAAGTGTCCATAAATTAGCAAAATTAGTTTTATAAAAAGAATTAGTTTTTAAAGGATTAATTTCCTATTCATAATCTGTTGATTATTTAATACATTCGAAATTAGGCACTTCTTATTACATAAAAAATAAAGTGTCACATTCAATAATAGTATTGTCATTAAGTTAAACTTACTGGAGACTATTATTAGGCTAGAAGTGTAGTTTTTGTACTGTCTTTTTCCTGAGAGTTTTAATACCTTGTTCTTGTAGATGTTTTTCTATATACTCCGATATATATTATTACGTATTTAAATTCTCAAGATGGTTTTCGGACTCTAAGACTATATAAATTTGAAGTTTCGAGTTGTTTTTTTTCAAATTTAAAGCCATTTTTAAAGTCGAAGTATTATTTCCTAAAAAAAGGACATTTTTGAAATTATTTAGATTTTCCTTGATTTTTTAGAAGTCTTTAAATTTGGATGGAAAACAGTAAATTCCTTTATATTTTTGGTTTAAATATTCGTTGAAATTTTATTTTAAAAAGCCTTTTTTTCCTAATGCGTAAACTAGTTTATTATATTTTAAAACTGTTTCTTTGTTTTAATCTTCTATATAGTCGCTAAATAATTTAATGTTTAAGTCTTTTTAGTCTTTATCTTTTATTATGTTTATATTGAATTATTTCTAAATAAACTCGTCTTGTATTGTGTTCTGTTTTAAGTTTTCTAAATCTTCCATTAGCAAGTCTTTGTTGTAAGGAAAATCTAAGTCTTTTTCTCCTAATAGTATATTTATTATTCCAGAAAATTTACATAAACGGAGGGTTCGAACGATATTTAGAGTTTCAATTCCAGAGCCTAATATGGCGATTTTTTCGAAGGAAGGAACCCAGCCAAGCATATTTATTTAATCAAAGGGACGCTTTTTATCATTTAGATTGATTAATATGGAATTTTCAGGGGTTATATCTACTGTGTACTTTGTTAATTGGCTTAAGGTGGAGGAATATTCGGGAATACCAGTTACTATGGAGAAAATGGCGCCGTTTTTAATATCAAAAATGCGATCTCCGATCAATAAAGTGGAATCGAGTAATGTTTAATTATCAATAGGAGAAATAGCATCTACAATATGAATTTGATTATCTATTTTAGCAACAAGAAGAGGCTTTTAATTAATTTGGAAAAAATAAAGAGTATTTTCTTGTAAATCATAGGTTTTACATAAAAAAATTTATTAAGAAGAAATTTCTGAAATATTATTGCTAGTTTTATTTGAAGTATTTTCCTATAAATAAATAGGAGATTAAATCAAGTATTTTCTATTTAAATATAAAAAAGATGTAGGGAGAATAAATGATAAAAATATTTTTTTTTTTGATTTTTAAAAAATATTTAAAATTATTCTTTTCATTTTTTTTATAATGAATTTAGAAGTTATTATATGTAAATATATATATATATATATTTATATATATATATCTATATTTATATATATATCTTTATTTTTACAAAAAGTATTTTATTTGAATTAATTTTTTTTGTATTTATTATTTATTATTTATGTTTTTGAATTTTATTTATATATATTTACTTAATACATAAATAAAAACATATTTTGATCTTTATTATTTTATTATAGTAAATTATTCAAAAGTTTAATATTATTAGTAAATTATATTATTTTTCACAGTATCGGATTCTTTTATATATATTGTCCTTCTAATACATTAATTCATGCTATTAAAGAATTTAATTAGATGGTTAATTTTTGATTGGAAATGTTGCATAGTAGTATTAAAAAAAAATAATTGTATATAATTTTATTTTTTTAATAAAAAAATAATTAAATACTGAATATATATATATAATATTTTATGTGCATTTTTTTTTCAAATAATTAATCCTGGTTATAAAGTACTATTGTATTTGCTATTTTAAGTCTTATAATTAGTTAAAACTTAATTACTTACTGTTTAAATTGGTGTTTTCATTTTATAAGGAGCCTATTCAAGTATAAAGACAGGTTATTACACTATATTTTCTTATATAATTTAAGGTTATTATTATAATATAGTCCTACTAGAAGTCATAACAGAAGCAGGGGATACTAAATAAGCTTTTTTCGCTAGATTAGAAACAGGATTAATTATACTTTATTAAATAATAGGAACTACAACTTAATGTGGTTTTTGAACAATTTTATTTGGAATCATTTAAGGTTATTATATCATTTATTGTTACAATATTATTTAAGGTTATTGTTATATTATTTAAGGTTATAATATTGAACTTTAAAGTAAAAGAGGTTATAAAGGTTATGTTTATAATACATATAATTGATTTTGAGATTATTAATATTATTTTTAAGTCTGTTCTAGTTATTATTATTGCTATTTTTTTTCTAAAGTATCATTTTATATACTATTTAAGATTTATTTTTAATATTATTCTTATTTAAATTATTTTATAGTTGAATCTATATTATTATTTTATTCGTTATTAGTATTTAATCTTTGGGAATTTTAAATATTTACTTTAGAAGCTTAAATATCATTTTAGTAATTTCTTAGTGTTTTCATTAACTATTAATTTTGGATTTTTAACTCCCTGTTTTCTTTTATAATATTATCATGTTTTTGTTATTAGATTAATATTTACTAAATTTTCTTATTTTGGTCTTCTATAGTTGTTTCGTCTTATATTATTTTAATAGTCTAGTAATCTTATTATTCATTTATTATACTTTTCTTTATTTATTTTTGAGTTTAATTAATTTATTAATTACTAAAAATTTTATTATTATTATTAGTATTATTTTAAATAATACTATTATTATTTTATTATTATTAAATATTACTGTTTTATGTATTATTTAGTTATTAATTTTTATGGTTTTAATTTATTAATGAATATTAAGTTTATATTTCATTTTTATTATTTAATATTGATTATTATGTTTTAAAATCATTATTATATTCATTATATGTATCATTTTTTTTTTAATTTTTATTTTCATTTTCAAAATTCGAATATTTGGTATTTCTACGTGGAGTATTTAGACCTTCTTCATATATATGAGAATCTGCATTTTTTTGGAAAATACTTTATTTTCCATCTTTTTTATTTGTGATATTTTAATTTAATTAAACCTTAATTGTTTCGGTTTTTTCCTTACTATGTATTAAATATGAATTTTTAAAGTCTAAATTTTCTGAATTTTTTTTTAAGGTTTGTCTTTATTAAATATACTGTATAGAATTTAAAAGAAGTTCATAAAATTGAATATAGTTAATTTACCAGTTTTTCGATTTTACTCTTTTTAATAAAAATTCGAATTCTTAATATGTAAATGGAATATTATAATTAGTATAAAATTAATGTAAATTTCCATAATCTATTTTTCCTTTATTTTCTTTATCGATTTCTTCGAATAGTTATTATATATATATTTTATCATTTTATAATACTGACTATATTTTTTTTTATATATATATATGTATATTATTTTACTTTTAAATACTCTGTATGGTTTAAAACATCGTAGTTTATTAAAAAAATACTCTCAATTGCAAACATGCATCTTTATGATAAAGTTTTGGATTATTTATCATCTTTTTCTTTTACAAGAGGAGCGTTTTAAGGATCAAAATCAAGAATTTCGAGGAAAGAATAAATATCGAATTCGTCATTTTTATTTGCGTATTTTAAAAGTAAGGCTTAGACTTGTTCATCGATGGGATTTTCATCATGCTTTTTAAAAAAATTAATTAGAGTTTAGGATTTTAGGATTTTCCTTGGGTTATATGACATACAAGAGTACCATTTAAATTCTTATTTGGTAGCATTTTAGGTAGAATATGTTTCTATCAATAATTTGAAAGCCTAAGTTGGGCAGAATTCGTTGAATGTTTTTAAGTATTATTAATGTTTTAGTATTTAATTACATGCTTCTATTTCTGAATTCAATATATCAATTAATAATTCTTACAACATTTTTTTATATATATATAAATAAATATTATTTTATTTAATATTATAGTATTTTTTTTAAATTTTATTTTAATGTTTTAATTAAGTTATTTTTTTTAAACAAAATAAATTAAATAATTTAAATTAATTAAAAATGCAAATTTTTAGATAAATTTAATTGACGAAAAAGAATATTTATAAAATATAAATATATATATATATATTATACTTATGTTTATATAATTATATTTATTTAAAATAAAATAAAATATTTTTATAATAATATTAAAATACAATATAATAAAATTAAAAAAAATATAATTAAATATAAGATTGTTATTAATAAAAAAAATATCAAACATAATTCTTCTTATTAATTTTAACCATAATCCTAGGCACAATATGCATAGCCATAAGTTCTTAAATAAGTTACTTAGCTGCATAAGGTAAAAACACCTAAACAATTTTATAACTATTCTTTTTTTTCTAATCACTACTTTCCTAACAACCTTTACAAATATATTAATGATCTGTTAAATTAGCACTTGCAATTAGTCCGCATTCTGAACACACATGAACTCTATATTAATCAGAAACACCAAAAGTTCTTTCTTTTAAAAAATTACTAGTGCCTAATAAAAAATAAAAAAATATTAACATATATGTATATATATATATAATATACCATGTGCTATAATACAATCTCTTTCCATTTCACCAAATCTAAGTCCCCCCCCTCTGGATCTACCATGTGTGGGTTATCTAGTAATAGCTACAACTGGTCCTCTTGCTCTTGAGTACATTTTATCATCTACTAAATGTCTTAGTCTTTAATAATAGGTGGGTCCGAAGTATATTTAGGTAGTCAGTCTGGAACCTGTATAAGGGTTATATAAGACCTCGTTTCCGTATTTTTAATAGCCATGTGTATGTAATTCAGATGCTATATCTTAAAGTTTTAGACCTGAGAAGGGAGTAGCGTCTCCCCATATACCTTTGAGGGCTGAAAGTTTGGAGTTTAAGCCTTCTATCATATGTCCTATAGTCATTCTAGAAGGAATACAGTGAGGATTAATAATTAATTCGGCGGGGATACCTTATATATTAAAAGGCATATCTTCTCCTCTAATAGTCATTCCTACAGTACCTTTTTGACCATGTCTTGAGGCAAACTTATCTCCTATTTGTGGGATTCTATTAGATCTAAGCTTGACTTTTACAATATAAAAACCGTCTTTATCCTCACTTAATATTACTGTGTCAACGTATCCTATTTCTGAACGTCTAGAACATAAAGATACGTCCTTAAATTATTTAAAGTTTTTGGATTTAAAATCTTAACTTTCAGGAAGCTCAACTACTTTTCCCACTAAAATATCATCTCCAGTTACTTATGTTCCTGGCGCTAATTAATATTTCTATATATATATTAAAAATTAGAGTTTTACGTATAATTCCATCATAATCTAGTTTTAAGAAAGAATTACTATTAGGAATTACTGTTTTATTTTAATCAGGAAAGCATATTGTTTCTTTTATTGAAAAAGCTCCCATTTCTTCTTTTTTTTCTTAAGTCTTATATGTCCTAAAAAAGGCAGATCTAAATAAACCTCTGTCAATAGAACTTTAGTTCATTATAATAGAATCTTCTTAATTATAACCAGTAAAGCAAGCAATAGCTACAATAGCATTTATACCAAAAGGAATACTTTTAGAACATATATAATCATTAGATTTGCTTGAAGCCAAAGGAATTTAAGGATAATATAAAATATGAACAAGTGTATCGACTCTTAAATTAAAATTAGTAGAATTAAGTCCTGTAAAAAAATGAATATATATATATATATATATATATATATATATATATATATATATATATATATATATATATATATATATTAAATAAATTATATTTTTACCCATAGCTTATTTTCCCATAGCTGATTATAAAGTATTTCTTGGCCCCTAATTATGATGACCAAATGGAATAATTGAAGCACATACACCTAAAATCATGGCTGGATGAATTTCGGAATGTGTAAAAGGCAAATCTTTTCTCAATTTTTCGGTTTGATAAAAATCGTTAATGTCAATAGCGATCATTGCTCCTTCTTCTTCTTCTACATCAAGAAATTCAATAAATCCTTCCTTACAGAATTCAGAAAAAAGTTTATATTCTTTTACATCACCAGAATTTATTTTCTCTTCTTGAATCTATATATATTTATTTATATCTTATTTTGTTATTTTTAATTGACGAGTTTAATAATTTTCTACAATAAATAAAGGTCTCATACATCTTCCACTATCTGTATATATTCTTAAAGAAAATTATACAATGTATATATTAAAAAATATAAATATATATTATATTTACTTAATTTCTTTATTTATGATATCTCGAACAACTGAAAGTCCTTTAAGTTCTTAACTAGTTCTAGTTTTTTTAATAAAACTAACTAAATCATCTGGTTTATCTGTAAAACCAAACCAATTTCCATTATAGAAAACTTTAGTTAATTTAGGAATATCATCAAATGAAATTTATGAAATATCAAAAGGCTTAACTTCTTCTTAGAAACTTTCCAAAAACTCCAAAAAGTTTTTATTATCACCTTCTGAGAATCCTAAAGAAACCTAAGCCATTAAAGCCATATTTTTTACCATCCCTATTTTCTATCCTTCTGGTGTTTCTGCAGGACAAATAAGCCCATAATGTGTATTATGAAGTTATCTAGGTTTTGCTAGTTTAGCTGCACTCTTCATTGGGGCATTTACTCTTCTCATATGAGACATCGTAGCAAATAAGGAAGTATCTCTCTTCAAAACTTAAGCCACGCCAGTTTTAGCCACTTCTCCGTCGGCAGTTTAGCCCCAATTTCCAGTTGCTAGAGCAAGTCTCAAAGAGTCAGAAATAAGACGGTGGTCAAATATGTCTTCTCGTAAAGAAAATTCATTGTCAGGTTCTCGAAGGGTCTTATTTATCTTTTCTTAAAGTTAATTTTTAGCTCTACGAAGGAATAAACGAAGTCTTTCTTTAAATAATTAACTCATTAAAGTGCCTGCCATATCTAATCTTTTTTTACCATAATGATCACGGTCATCTTCTGAAGTTTTTCCTAAAGCAGCATTTAATAATTTTTATATCTTTTATATAAATAAATATATATATTTATATATATATATATATATATTTATATAAATATATATATATATATATATATATATATTATTTATATAACAATATTTACCATATATCCTACAAAAAAAGCTTTTTAATTAAATGATTTTTCATCAAGACCTACATGAGGTAATAAATATTAACAAAGTACTTCTTTTGCAATTTTAATAGATTCTTATCTAGAAACACTTCTGTTAGAAGATTTAATTCTTAGTCCTATATATTATAGTGCGGATTCTTAATGTTTACATTTTGAGGCTAAAAGAAGAGATTCTCTTAACATTTCCATCATTCCGGCATTATTTTTATCTTTTAGGTCATAAAAAATATACTCCATCATTTTTTTCTCTGTTTATATACTAAGGGCTTTAAATAAAAGAAATATAGGAATATCATCATTTACATATTTGCATCTCCAAAAAAGCTAATATTCATCATTTTTCTTTTTTAATTTTAATGTAAATTTACTCTATATTGCCGTAGCTTTTTCAGGAATAGATCTTACCTTTATATATATATATATATATAGTATAGTATTTTTTATATATCTATATTTAAATACTTCAGCAATCCAAGGCATTCTTTCATCTTTTTATTTAAAAACATAAACAAAATTAAAAGCCATTCTTTCTTAGGCAACAACGACTTTTTCTGAACCTTTAATAATAAAATATCCTCCTTAATCATATTAACATTCTCCATTTCTAATTTTTTATTCTAAAGTAAGTCCACTTAGACTACATTATTTAGATTAAACCATAACAGGCATTACGCATAAAGTAATAATATTTTTATTAGGATCTCCTATTTATTCTTTATCAACTTTCTTTGAAATCGGATCTAAAGTTTCCTTTACAAATTTTATTGGAATTCTTATTTCTACGCAATAATCTAAATCACTAATTCTTGCTGTCATAGGGTATATTTTTTAAGGTCCTCCTTTATAAATTAAATATTTTTTTAATTAATATATACTTATTTATATATACTTAAATCTGCATCTTTAGAACTATTCCTCCATCTAGTTTTTTAATGAATTAATTTAATTGGATATTATACTTTTTAAGGTTTTTCAAAAGAAAAAACATATGTAGTATTATTAAAGTCTTTATCATTTTTATGGTCTAATTTGTAAAGATTTTAACGCTTTATTCTAATGTGTTGTTCTTCCATTATATGTGGGATGGATTCTATAAACGCATCATAGGAATTTATTTATTATGAACATAAACCGTTTTCTTTAAAATAAGAGTCTATTATTTTCCAACAATCATTTTAGTCTAATTCTTGGATGTCATTTTGGTCTGATTTCATATCTAAAAAATCATTATCTGAACTGTTTATTTAAAAACTATTGTCCATATTATATTTATTTTATAATTATTAAATATATTTGTATATATAAATATATGTATTTTATTTAAAAAATTTGTTTATAGTAATTTATTTTTTAATTAGTAAAATCTTTTTTATTTATTACACAAAAAAAAAAATCTTTTAATTTATTTTGAATATTAATGCATATTTAATTTAGATTATGAATATTTATATAAAGTAAACATTTTTTTTAATGTATTCTTAATTTTATTAATTAATAACAATATTTATTAAAATAATTTTTTTATGCATTTAAAAGAAATTTTTTAAGATAATAATTAAAAAAGACACAAATAGAAATAAAAAATTTATTTAAATATAAATCATATTCTATATTATTTTATTTTTTAAATAAAATAATTTTTTATATTCTTATTTTGTAAAAATGAAAATCTTTCTTTATACTTTTAATAAAATAATATTTAGTATTCTATTGTTTGTAAATATATTAATTATTATTAAAAATAATAATTATTTAAAATAAAAAAATTAAAATATAAAAATAGGTTAATAATAGATTATGTATTTTAATAGATATATGTTTACTAATTATGTTTTAAAAATAAATATAAAATAAACATTATAATATATATATGTAAATATATTATTTAAATATATATATATATATATATATATATATATATAATATTATATTAAAATATATATCTATATAAATATCTATATTTTTTTTCATTTATATTTTTAAAGTAAAAAAATATAAAATAATTTTATTTTTATTAATTATTTTATATATTATTCACTTTTTTATATATATATTTAACATTATATTTTCAAATAATAAATAAAAATTATTATTAAAAAATTACTATTTTAAAATTTATAAATATTTTTGTTTTTATGAAATAATAATTGTTATTAATATGAAATATATTTTTTATTTTGATATATTTTTTTGAATATATTCTAATTATTTATTAATTTATTAAAGTATATTAATTTTAGATTAGATTTCATTAGGCTTTCTTTCTTCTTTATCGCTTTATTAAATGTTTTATTAATTTTATTTTATTTTTTTTCTTTTGTCTATTAAATGTTATTTTTTTTTTTATAAAATTAATATATGTGTCTAAAATAATTTTAATTTAATAATATGAAAATCTTTAAATATATAATAATTTTTTTTTTAAATAAATTTACTTTAAAATTTTTTAATATATAAATATTTGTTTTTAAAAATGTATATTTAAAATTCTAAAATATATAATTATAAATATAATTAATATTAATACTAAATGATTTATTACATTAAATTCAAAATTAAAAAATAATCATATACTAAAACAACTAATTGTTATCAAATAATTATCTAATAATAAATTTTTTATATATTACTGTTTTCATTTATAAGTTTTGCACCTTGAAAATAAACTAAAAACAATAAATAGTTATAAAAGTATTAAAAATAGGCTATTTGGATTAAAACAAAAGCTTAAAAATATTCTAAAATTAAATATAAATTTTAAAAATATTAAAATAATTTGACTTTATTCAATAAATACATGATTTTTCTAATAATTAATAATTATAATATATCTCAATAAATATTTGTACAAATAATTAAACTATTATATTTTTCTTTTTTTATTAAAATTTTAGTTATAAAACAATACTATTTTTAATTATACATTTATTAATTTAAGTTTAAAAACAAAAAACATGATTTGAAGTCCCTTGGGTATGTTTTAGTATATTATTTAAAAGGGAATTTAGCTTGTTAGGGCTTAAATAGAATAAAAAAAAGGAATTATATGATTTAAAAGAAATTACTTCTATATAAAAGTTAAAAAGTATGTCTTAGTGTTTGATGTAATTTTATTAATATATAAAAAAAATTGGGTTTAGATAAAAACTAGATTATGAATAAATACGAATTTTTTAAGATTAAATTAATAATTAAGTATAAATATGATAATAATGGGATTTATAATTGGATAATTATAAATGAATAAATATACAAATAATTTTTTTATATATATTTAGTAATTAAAAAAAATATCATTTAAAAATATTTAAATAAAAAATAAATAAATATAAAATACAAATTTAATTATATTTAATAAAAATACATAAGAAATTTAATTAGAACTAAAGTAAAAAAAAAAATATAAGAATTATATTGAAAATTTATTAATTTTTAATTATTAAAATTAATGGAAATTGATATAAACTAAAACCATTTTAAAGAAAATTTAAGCATAGATAAAAGAACTAATATAAAAAAAAAAATTATAAAAAATAATACCAATTCTAAACATATGAATATATATATAAATATATATATACGGGTAAATGTATTATTTATATTTAAATTAGTTTTTAGGCAAATACAATAAAAACTAAATTTTTTTAAAACGCTTCTATTAAAAATATATTTGTTTATATTATTGTTATGTAATATTATATGTAATAATATAATATTTTTAATTATTAAAAAAAATATATATATAATATTTTTTAATTAAAATTTATATTTAATTAATAACTTTTTTAATTTAAAATTTAATAAAAGAATTAATATTTATAAAAAAATATAAAAAATGGATCCTTTATTAAAATAATTAAAAATAAAAAGTGGTTCTGTTAAAAGATTATAAAAAGAATTTATTTCATATTAAAACGAAGAAAAAAAATCAAGAGAAAAATTAGAAATTATGAAAACATAAGGATTAGATGAATATGAAATTAAAAAATATGTATAAAAATATAGTATAATAAATAAATATTATTATATAAATATATAAATATATAAATATATAAATATTTAAATATTTAAATATATATTTATTAATTAATTAATAAATATATAATAATTATATAATTATAGACTGAGTTTTTAGAAGAAACATAATCTGTATTACCTGGTTGTAAATAAAGATTATAAGATTCATTAAATGAAATTGTTTAATGGATGGTACTTTAATAATATATATATATTTTTATTTTATTTATTTATATTATTTTTTTTTTATTGTTTTAATAGAATGAAAATGGTGATAGTTTTGTTGTAAAAGACTCAGAAGAAAAAGCTTAAGCTTAAGACATTATTTAATAAGCAAATGAATTTTTGGAATAATAAAATAATATGGCTAATTGATTAATATATAAATTTAATAATTTTAATGAATTTAATATTTATTATTATATTTAATTTTTTATATTTATTTATTAAAATGAAAATATATTTTTTTTAATAACTAAAATTTATAAATTTTCCTTTTATAATTAATTTAATAATATAATTTTTTATAATTATTTTTAATATTTTTGCTTTTAAATTATAAATAATTAAAAAAAATTAAATATTAATATAAGATATTAAATAATTAAAAAATATCAATGTTTCTTTTAAATTTAATTTTTTAATTAATCAGCAACTCTATCAATGTATTCTTCAGTAGTAACATATTTATTTCTTGGTACACTAATAATGATATAAAAATAAATATAAAATTATATATATATATACTTCATAGTTCCTTCTATACAAATAGCCAAATCTTTAGTCATAACTCCTTTTTCAATAGTATCAACAACAGCTTTTTCTAAAGTTTTACAAAAGAAATCTAATTCTTTATTATTATCAAGTTTAGCTCTATGAGCCAAGCCTTAACTCCAAGCAAAAATCGAAGCAACTGAATTAGTAGAGGTTTCTTAACCTTTTTAATGTTATCTATAATGTCTAGTGACTGTTCCATGTGCAGCTTCGGCTTCAATTACATCATTTTCAGCTACTAAAACACTAGTCATTAATCCAAGTGACCCATATCCTGTATAAATATATATAAAAAAATAAAAAATAAAAAATATACCTTAAGCTAAACAATCAGATTATACATCTCCATCATAATTTTTACATGCCCACATGAATCCTCCATCTGATTTAATCATATAGGCTACCATATCATCTATAAGTCTATGTTCATACCAAATTCCTTATTTTTCAAATAATCCTTTGAATTCTTTTTAATAGATTTCCTCAAAAATATCCTTGAATCTACCATCATATGCTTTCAATATAGTATTCTTAGTAGATAAATACAAAGGAACATTTCTCTACAAAGCATATCTTAGACAACTATAAGCAAATTCCCTTATTGAAGAATCAGTATTATACATTCCCATACCTACACCACCACCTGGATAGTCAAAAACTTACATTTTTTTCTAAGCACTGCCGTCTTTAGGGGAAAATATAATTTCGAATTTACCAGGTTAGTCTACAACGAAATCTGTGGCTCTATATTAATCGCCAAAAGCATGTCTTCCTATTTTATTATATAAAATATAAATATATATCTTTATGAAGTTTATTTTTTTTAAAAAGGAAACCTATTATTATTGATTTTTTCCATTAAGGGATCAATTTAGGAATGTTTTTACAAAGAATGGGTTCTCTAAATACTGTTCCTCCGATGTGATTTCTGATTGTTCCATTAGGTGATTTCCACATTTTTTTTAATTTGAATTCCTTTACACGGGCTTCGTCAGGGGTTATAGTAGCACATTTTATACCAACTTTTGTTTATAATATGGCCTCGGCGGCATCTAGTGTTACTTTATCGTCAGTAGCATCTCTATGTTGGATTCCAAGGTCATAATACTTAATTGGAAGGTCGAGGAAAGGGAAAATAAGCTTGTCTTTTATCATTTTCCAGATTATACGGGTCATTTCATCGCCATCAAGCTCGGCTACAGGGTTTTTTACCTTAATTTTTTAGAAATAGGCAGATGATTTATAGGAAAGAAAAGCTTTTTGGGTTAATTAGGAAGTGGATTTGAACATATTTTTATGTTATTTTTTATTTTTTATTTTTTATTTTAATGTTTTTTTTATTTATTATTATTAAATATTTTATATTGAAAAATTCTTTTTAATATATGATTTCTTTTTATTTTTTTATTGAAGTATTTTAATATGATATCAAATAAAAATAAAAAAAATCAAATTTATTTTTTATTTTTATTATTTAATAGAGGTTTATATTTTAAATTTATAAGATTTTTTTAGTTTATTTTAGTTTTTTTTAATTTTTTTTTATATTTAAGATATTTTAATAAATTTTTATTAATTTTAATCAATATAAATAAAATTAAATTATAATATCTTAACAAAAAATTTTATTTATAAATATTTTTATTATATTACAAACATTAATAATTACTTAATTCAATATTATATATAAATATACATATATAATTTTTTTCACAAGAAAAAAATAATAAAACGTATTTTATTAATTTTCCTTTTTTTATATAAAAAATAATATTTAAATATTTGTTTATAATATTATATATTTTTTGAAAATAAATAATTATAAAAAAATACTATTAATACATTATTAAAAAGTTAATTTTATATATAAATAAAAAAAATGGATATTTAATTAGATTAATCTAAAAGCATTATAAAAAATTTTCAGGAAAATCAACAATTAGAAATATCTAAAAAATTTTACTATTTATTATTTTCTTCTCTTTCCAATTTATTAAAAAAATAATTAATCACAGAAGAGTTTAAAAAATAAATAAAATTAGAACTACTTTAAAACAATTAATAATTTTTCAAAATTTTAGACATAAACTAATATACAAAAATAGATTTAATCGAAACAAAAATTTTATTATATTATTAATAATAATAAAATAAATAAAAATTAACATTAAAAGAATAAAAAGAAAAATACAATAAAAAAAATGAAATAAATTATTTTGATTAATATATAAATAATCTTAAAATATAAGACCTTAATTTTTTATAAAGGACATAATTATAAAAAATCTATAAATAACTATAATATTTATTTATAGATTAAAAGAAAAAATTAAATTAAAACGATAAAAAAATCTAATTAAATTAAAGTTATAAAAATGAAGATTATAATAACATAGAAAAATATTATTGTGAAATAAAAGTATTATAATTATATATATATATATATATATAAAATTTATAAATATGTATATATATTTATTTTATAGAGTTTTTATAAATAATTAAAAAGATAATCATTATTGCTTTTAGTTTATCATTTAAATTCTTTATAATAATAAAAAATATTAAAAAATATAATTAAGATTTTATTAAATGCAGATAATTATGTATTTATTAAAACTAAGAAATAAATCGGATAAAATTCTTAATAAAAGAAATAATTTTTTTCTAATAAAACAAATTAAATTGAAGAACCGTTTAATAAATAGTAATTTTTCTGTAAATAGGTTAATGATATTGTTTCATGTGAAAATTTTATTTCAGACACTAACACATTGATTTTTAGTGATGAAAATTAAAATTGCCAAAATATTAATGTTAGTTAGGATGTTTTAGTATAAGAGATTTCGGAATTTTCATAAGATTTTATAGATATTGATAATATAAACTAGTAATAATTTCCTTAAATATGTAAAATTATTGGAACAATTAAAAAAAAATATAAAATTTTCTTAATTAAATATACAAATAAAAAACTAATCAATATGAATTAATAGGAATTATATATGAAAATTAAAAATCCTTTTAAAATTTTAAAACTAAATTATTAACGTAAATATCAAAATATATATTGATAATATATATATATATAATTTATATACAATATATTTTTTTTATATTTTTATTTAATAATATATATTTAAATATATTTATATATTTGAATAAAAATAGTAATAGTTTTGATAATAAAATAAATTAAAATTAAGCTTTTTCTACTTTATCCACTTTAATTAGTTAAATATATCTATTAAGTTCTTATGAATAATAAATTTTAATGATAGAAATTTAAAGTTATTTTTGTCATTTTGGGAAAAACTTATTAATAGATGTATTTTAGCATTATTTATTTAATAATTTTGGTTTAGAAACTTAAATAAAATACTTAAATCTTAAGTTTACTAAGTCTATGAATGCAGATGAGAGACATTAATATTTTAAAGATAATAAAAATATTATTTTTGAAGATGATTATGTGGATATTGTATTGCATTGTTAAAATGAAAATATTTAATTAAATTAATTTAAATATTAAGAAAATTATATAAAAATATATATTTTTTTATATATTTTTGTATAGGTTTAATATTATTTTAATAAATATAAATTTTTTCTTATAAAAATTGATTAAAAATCTTTTATTTATAAATTTTTCTTAAAAAGTAATTTTTCCTAGTTTTTTGATTTTTCTAAAAAAGGATTTTTGAAATATTAATCACATTATAAGTTATAATATAAAAAAATAATATAAAAATAATATACATATATATAGATATAATTCAGAACATTCTATAACAATTTTATAATAAGAAAAAATTCATATAAGCCAATTATTTAATCAAAATAAGAACTTAGTTACTGAATTTAACGAAATAATATCATATTTACAAACTTATGACAATTAAAAGTTCATGAGCTACACTTAAGAGATCTTATCTTTTCAAAAATATGACGAATTAAAAAAAATTGGTAATAAATTTATAAGAATACCTAACTAATGGTTCTACTTAAAATCTTTACCGGACGCTTAAATATATGTGTAAATATCATGTGGAATATAATCTATTTTTATAAATATATACGACGATTTTTAGAATGATTCAAATACTAATTTAGGGAGCTTTTCTTTATTAGAAGACTTATGCTCTAGTTTTTAAATTTCTGAGTTTTATGATGGTAGAATTAAATAGATTTTTAAGAAATTGCACTCGAAATTCAATTAGATCAATATGGAAGAGAAAGTACATTAGCAATATAATAATACTTAAATTGACCTTTTTACAGATAATAAAAAGAATAAGTAAGATATAAACCAGAATTTACCAGTTAAAAACAAAGTGAAATTAATTATAACTAATATTAAATATAATGAAAATATATAAAAAAAAAATAAAAAATATAATAATATTATTTTAAATTGGAATGAGAATTTATTACATATGTTTCCTCAAGAAATAGACTTTGTAGATGAATGGGAATTTAATTCCCTTTCTTTAAAGAAAAATGAAGAATTATACACTGTAGCATGGAATATTTTAGAAAGAAGGGGTTTTGTGGAAAAATATATGATTAAAAATAAAACTTTTGCTAATTTTATTTAGCATTTATAATATGGATATAACAAAAAAAGAAATTTCTTTCATAATTTTAATCATGGAATAGCAGGTATAAATATATATATTTATATATATTTTTATATGTATGTTTATTATGATTAAAGTTATGCAAAGTTGCCATATGTTAACTAAATGTTAAAAATCTTAAAGTATTTTGAAAGATATAGATGTTTTTACTGTTATCTTTTCAGGTTTATGTCATGATGTAGGACATACAGGAAGAACTAATAATTTCGAAATTGCAGTTTAATCGAAATTGGCTATTAGGTATCATGACAAATCAGTATAAAAAATAATAAAACATAAATTTATATATATATATATATATATATATATATATATATATATATTTAATTAATAAAGGTATTAGAATAACATCATTTAGCGCAAACCTTTAAAATAATGCTAAATATGAAAAATTCTAATATATTATAAAACCTATAAATGGTCGATTTTTAATATATAAGGAAATAAATGATATCTAACATTTTATATACTGATATAAAGCTTCATTTTAAGCTTAAATAAGACTTTGACTTATATTGGAAAAAAAGCGACGAAAAACTGGAAGAAAAAAGTGCACTAACTGAATAACCTGAAAACATCCAAAACAGAGATTAATATTAATAATAAATCGAAATATTGACTGGAATGATAATTCACACGGCTGATTTTAACGGGGCTGTCAAAAAATTTTTATTCGCAAAATAATGGTCTGAAAGGGTTAATAAAGAATTTAATAATTAATATATGGAAGAGGGAGTTAAAGGAATCATACAAACACCTTTTATGAAAGATTTAGATAAAACTAATATAATGGCGAGGGCTGAAAAAGAGTTTTTGGGTGTCATTGTATTACCTTTATGGGAAATTTTGAATAGTTTTTATGAAGGAGAATTAAATCATATTATTGGAAATATAAATGAGTCTATATAAGAATGGGAAAAATTGGCAGCTTAAGAAGAATTCTAAACTACAGAAAAAATAGAGAATTTAGAAGTTATTACTGAAAAAGAAGAAACAGAATCTTTAAAATAAATATAAAAATAATGAATTTGTAAATATATATATATATATTTTAAAATAAAAATTAAATTCATATCATTTTTATTCAAAAAATAAATTTTCAGTAAATAAAGATTTTGATAGATTCTTAAAGATTTTCTTTTTTGGAGTTTTTATACCGATATTTTAAGTTTAAGTTAATATTTTTATTACACCTTAACTTAAATTATTTATTGGAGTTTAACTTTTTTGTGAAAAATTAAAGTAGGATTAATTATTTAAACTTTAAAAAGGTTCATTTTTAGGAAATTTAATTTAATTAGAGGTTATACTTAAATTATTTTAAGTATTTTTTTTAATATTATATGAATGATTATATATTTATTATTATAATAAACAGAATTATTTATAATTACATTAATTATTATTATTATTATTATTATTATTATTATTATTATTATTATTATTATTATTTTGTAAAATTATTTTAGTTTTTCTTGTTATTTTTATTATTTGGGGATTTACTACCTATTGGTGATGACATTTTCGTGTTTGTTTCCGATATTATATCTTATGTATTATTTATTTATAATTATTTTATTTAACTTTATTTCGAATGTGTCGTTTTTTTATTAGAAAATATTTTTTATTATTAGAAATAATTATTATTTTTTACCTAATTATCATTCATATATTATATTTATTTTATTGCATTATTTGATAAATTATTATTTTATTAAAGAATATAATTTTTTTCAAGTGTTTTTATTTTCTTTTTTAATTTCTCGTTTTCTGAGTTCATTTCAAGCAATTTATTTATGAATATTTGTTTCATTTATTTTTAATTCTATTTAATACATATATATATATACCATATATATATATATATATTATATAAAAATAAAATTAGAAAATGTACTTTTTTTTTTTTACTTAATTTTATCCATTTTTAATATTTTCATAAACATTAATTTATTTTTCATATTAAATTATTTATTTTTTATACTATTCTACAATATTCTAAAATTCACAAACTTAATTTTTAAATTTTATATTTACTTCTTAAATTTCATCTATTTATTATTTACTATTAATTATTTATTTATTAATTTATTCTTATGTTTAATACATAATATCTATTTATTTATTTTATATATCAATTGTTTATTTTTATTCTTCTAATTATTTACAATATTAATCTCTTATTTAATTTTCTTAATCTTTAACTATTTAATATTCTTTTTATAATTTATTTAATTTTTCTTATAGTTCTTAAACTTTATTTTTTAATTATGGATTTTTTTATTTAAGAATATCATCTTTTATTTTTTATAATTTAACTAATTTATTATTTAATTATTCGTATATAACTGATACTTTATTGTTTTTTTCGAATTTACTATTATTATTTTCCATCTATAAAAGATTTATTTTTTCTTTTAATTCTTCGTTTTATTTTTATAAAATAATATTCTAGTGTATTAATTCCTCAATTTTATTATTATTTATTAATTTTTCATCAATTTCTTAACAAACAGAATTTAATTGATTCGAAAAATAACTATTACTACTAGTATTTTCAGACAATTCTTATATAGTCCCTAATATATTATCATCTATTTTCTCATTATTCTCATAATTATCTGTAAAACCAATTATCCAGGCCTTTATTCTACCTTAATTATCCCCAGTAATGAATCCTTCGCTATTTAACATTTAAATATTTTATACAATGTCAACATCCTTAGTTAATTTTTAAGACTAAAAATCCTAAACGTCGAAAATTTGGATATAATTTTCGGTAGAAATAGCTAATTCTTTTTCATTAATTTAACTTCCCGAATTTATATTATTTTATATATGAATTTCCTTCAAAACATGTATTTTTTCATCATTGTTTTTTTAGAGTTCAAAAAATACCAAAAAATTTAAAAAAATAGCAACAAAAATACCGAATTCTTCAAATAAAATAAACTTTAAAATTTACTGCTTTTTAGCATTTAATTATTCCTTGATTTTGTTTTTTTAAACAAAAAAAATACTCCCGTCTTATAAACCTATTAAAAATCTATCTTCGTTTATCTAAATTATTTATTTAATTTAGTTTTAGAATTAAAATGCTATTTTTTCAAATAAATATTACTTTTTTTCATAATTAAACTTAAAAATATACACATTTCCATCATTTCCGCCTAGGAAAATATCCGAATCATTACTTAAAATGCATATACATGTAAATTGTGTATTTTTTTCTCCCTAAAAATCAAAATAAACCTAATTTTCTTTCTTTTTAGTTAACCAATTGTACCAAAAAAACCCATTTTCTTTCAATAAAATTAAATATTCGGATGAAATTTCTAATTATATAATTTTTTAATCAAATTGAACTTTTTATATTAATTCTCCGCTTTTCCAATTCCAGATTTTTAATAAGTTTTATTTGCAAATACTGGCAAAATAGTTATTGTTTATTCTAATGATGCTTTAAATACCATTTTTATGTCCTTTTTTTTCATTTATTATTTCATTATCAATTATGTATTTTGATTGTATTTTTTGAAGATTAGGCAAATATCTTCTTGCTTCTAGATAATTAATTATATATTAAATATATATTTATATATCTTAATATTTTTTTACTTGATATATATTAAAATTAAGGATTTTCTTAATATGTCAGATATTAATATATTTAATCTAGTTTCTCATGATTTATACAATTTATAATAGTTTGTCTTTATGTTGCTTTTGAAGTTACTCCGACTATACAATATCCATAGTCTGGATCGTTAATGAATGCTATATTATCCTAATTGATTATATTGAAGACTGTAAAGTAGTTATAAGTGACATCTATAGCCAAAGTAGTTTAATATTCAACTAATTCGTTATTATTTAAACCTAATAGTATTATAGGATTATGAGCTTATAGAATATCATAGTCATCACTTTTTGCATTTGAAATTATTCCTAAATATCCGAGTGTATTCCCGAAAGGCTTTTCTAATTCGAGTAGTGCGAAATCATATTCTTATGTTTAAAAAATATTAAGGAATAAATTATTTACATAAATATTTTTAATTCCACAACTATAATCCCTATTAAAGAAATTGAGAAAAGTAAGCTTTTCCTTAAAACTAGTATATTTTTATAGACTATGACTATTTGTGATTAAAAAAGAAGGACTTATTAAACAACCAATTGTAATTATTTCTTAATTCTCGTTTAATATTACACCAAAACAAGTAAATGGGTATTTTATTTATAAATCGTTTTCAAGTTCTAATTTTTCGAAAATTTCTAATTGATCTTAAAAGGTTTTTTAATCAAAAGCATTGCCTTTGTAGATTTTTTTGGCTTTATCAATTATTATTGTGGTTTTCATATGTGTATGTATATATTTTTATATATTTATTTAATGTGTTTTTTTTATTTTTATTTGATGGTAAGTTAAATTTTATTTATTATTAAATATATAAATAATTAATTATTAATTGTATTAAAGTTATATGCTTATATTTTCTTTCTTTTATTTATTTCAATATGCTTTTTTTTTAAATATATGTTTTTTGTATAATACATAAAAATTAAATAAATATTTATATAAAATATTTTTTTTAAATAAATATATTTTTCATATATTTAGTAAATAATATTTATTATAATAATTCTAATTTTATGAATAAATATTGATTTTTGTTCTGCTTAAAAATAATTTAGACATATTTTTCTGTAAAAAGAATAATATTATATACTCACTTATTATAACTATAATTTTCTAATTATATAAATTACTTTTTAAAAAAAAACTAATAATTCTTTCTAAATTAATTTTTTTCTTAAAACTAAATGTTAATTATTTTAGTTTAAAACCTAATCGAAATTTTAAAAATATTAAAATTTATTTATTAGTTGTTAAATAATCTAAAAACAAAATTATTTTTAACATCAACATTCTAATTTTTTAGAATAATTATATCATTTAATTGCCTTTATTTTTTTATTTTTCATATCAAACATATTATTTTTTTTTAATTATAAAATGCTTCTTCATATTAAATATTTATTATTTAAATATAACCTGGATAATATAGACAATAATTAATATATATTCTGTAATTAATTTAAAAATTTCTATTATATTTTATATTATAATTTTAGAATACAAATAAGATTTGTCATTATAATTATAATTTTAATAATATAAAAATAAAATCTATTATTATATTGTTAATAGTATTTATATATATATATATATATAAATATATATTATATTAATATATATTAATTTATATATATATATATATATATTTTAATATATTTGCAATTATTATATAAAGTATAAATTAAATTATTTGATGCTTTAATTATATTAATAATCATAAATATATTTAATTTAAAATAAATGAATAAATATTATTTTTATAAATATTGAATATATATTTTTTATATGTATTATAATATATAAATATATATATATATTGTAATTTAATATTACTTCAATTGTGAAATTTGAAAATATTAAAAAAATTATATTTTTAAATAAAATATATAATTTTATTTATACTTTTCTACTTATTAAATTATATAACTATATATATAATTGCTTTATTTTTATTCATTCATTAATTCTTTATCATAATATTTTTTTTTTAATTTTTCTTTATCAATCTATTTTGACATATATATAAATGCTATATATATGTAAAATATTTTAAATGTTATTTTTATCATCATTTTAAAGTTTCTATTTTCTATTTTCTATTTTTTATCTTTTATTAATTTTCTATTTTTATATTAGAATTAAATTTATTTATTAAAAACTAAAAACCATATAGTATAAAATAAAATAATTTTTATAAAATTAACTTTTTTTTAATTAAATTTAGCAAATAATTATGATATAATTATACTATCTATTAAATAATATTTCATAAGTACCATTCATTTTAGTATTAATTTAATAAAATAGATTGCTTTTTAATTCTTATTAATAGATATAACAAAAATAATATCTTATATTTATTTTTCGTTAAAAAATAAAATAA